AGGAACTGATAATGTCCAAGGACAAATATCCGAGCATATTTTTGAAGCCAAGTGGAGGCTATTGTAGTTATTATCCTTCAAATATTTTTTCACAAGGCCGCTCTGTTTGCCGTGGAAGATCTCAGTCGGCCAAGCTGTTAAACATCAAAATAATTCTGTTGGCGTTCAAAAATATTTCTAGTCTGTTCAAAACAATCAGTTTTATTTAATGTAGCAATTTATTTGAGACGAAAACTGAACCTGCGAACGTGAAACGCAAATTTTCAAAACTGGGGAATATCACTTGGGGAATATCACCCGGATATTCCCCAGTTTTGGCTGCGTCACGTGACGTGTTTAGACCAATCGCGCGCGAGAAAAAAGTTTGATGAATTATAATGTTGAATATCCCGAGATAGCGGACCAATCAGATTGCTTAAAACGCCAAGGTCGCCGAGTTGGTATATACTAATTTTGGTTGTCCCGACGACACATATTTTCTCTTATATCCGTCAGCCCGTTTAATATGGACACCCGGATAATACGGACACTTTTTCATGTCCCTTTGCCGGGTTCCACTGTATTTAGTGCCCCCTCTCTAATAAGACCCCCCCCCCCCCCCCCCACTTCTCGAGGCCTGAAATTAGCACATAATTAGACATCAATACGTTTTCATCTCTGAACACCGTGATCTAGCCCCTTTAAAAGCGGTACTCAAAAGCTTTAACTGTAACGTTATAAGGCTTTGACTGTAAAAAAGAAATACTCTGTCGAAATTTTCTTGAACTTTCTAACTGATGAAAAACTTGATTCAAAACGTTTATTTTTATTTTATCGCAACATAGGAAAATTAAATCACAAAGCACGATGTCTCACTTGTGCATATTTTGTCCATTTTTAATATAAGAAAATAAATCGAAATTAAATTTTAAAAGTTTATAAATATTTCAGCGAAAATTATTAATATTTTGATTTTAATTTCAGCTAAGAATCATGTTAAAATAAAATTTTAAATTTGGTCGTTTTTACTTTCAATACGAGAATACGAGTTTAAGACACGGGAATATTGCGGGAATATTGCGGGTGACCTTTGCTATAACAGTGAGCGCTACAGGAGATATATTTGCTTAAAGATCGTTTTAAACGTGGTTATAAAGTACAAGTGTGCCGATCAAGCTTGAATTCTCATTTCCCGAAGAAATCCTTGCGTTTTGTCAAATAGCAGAACCGAAGTATAGTTGCCTGCATTCATTTCAGCGCGAAAACCTTCTATAATGCAAGTTTATTCCACTCCTACTTTTCTCTTTTCTCTACCGATCGTCTGCACATAGAATTGTTGGCCGAATGAGGTCAAGGTATTCTCCTTTTATCAACTACCGCGTGAGAATTTTGCAGTTCATTAACTCTAGCCTTCGAGCAAGCTCTCTTGGCGTTTTTTTGGGGGGAAAAAACTCACCCCCCCAAAATCCCCAGAGAGCTTGCTCGCAGGCTACATTAACTCATGCTTTACCGCTCTCAATTCTTACTCGATCGGACTCCATGTTTACAATTAGTTTTGTCCTGATTTATGTAACTGTTATATAAATGTGTCGCTCATTGGTATCCACAGACCCCGGGACCCCGTGACCACGGCACCCCGACCCTAGCCTGTTCCAGGCGTTCAGAAAGTGGAGGAGAGACGCGAAAAGACGCGCGAAGCGCGAGGAGAGGGCGCACGCCTATTATTCACTCGCCACTCTTCACACGTCTTTTCGTGTCGCTCCCCCACTATCCGAACGCCTGTAACAGGCAACCCCGACGCAGCGTTTTCCACTCAGCCGTCTAAGGTGGTGTCGACCCAACTCACCGGAAGTCCGTTCGCGAGAGCCTCGACTAATTGGAAGTCCGATCGCGAGAGTCAACCTCCAATCTCAAGGGACTGTCCCTGTCACGGGGATTAGAGATTTTAGCATTTGTGATTATGAATTTGTTTAAATTATTCTTTTAATTCTTCACGGGGAGGTGCCTCGCATGGGTACTCGCGTCCCGTTTGCGCCCCGCCCGCTTGGGTAACTACTTTTTTGTGTGTTTTCTATTTGTACTCCTTTATTACATATGACTGAATATAAGTAAATAATTTTGTAGTTGAACCACAGGGGCATACAAGTTGAGAGGATTAATAAAGAATAATGAATAAATGAATAATTACTTGGTTAATTCTTGTGTTTTCTTTTGTATTCTCTTGCGCGAACTTATAGGAATGACCGCTACCCACATTTTCTTTGCCAGCATTAAACTCGCACCCAGACCTTCTCGCTTTCCGAAAAAATTTTTTTTCCTATATACATATATTCTTAACATGTTTTGCGCTCGGAGCTGCCTCCCTTGTTAAGAATATATGTATATAGGAAAGCGAGAAGGTCTGGGTGCGAGTTTAATGCTGGCGCAGAAAATGTGGGTAGCGGTCATTCCTATAAGTTCGCGCAAGAGAATACAAAAGAAAACACAAGAATTAACCACGTAATTATTCATTTATTCATTATTCTTTATTAATCCTCTCAACTTGTATGCCCCCTGTGGTTGAACCCAATAAAAATGTTTAAAAAAAAAATAAAAAAAAATGAGAACAGGTCGTCAATATATCTTTTCCATACTAGCGGTTTTTACAGCTCTAAGTATTTCTCACTCTATTGTGGCCATAAAAATATCAGCAAAGGCTACGGCCATTTTCGTTCCCATCAACCTACGATAAGGAGTCGAGAGGTAGCCTGCGTGCAGATGTCTCGTATCCTTGCTGCGGAGGAGTTTGTAGGTAATCTTTTCCATTAACTGGAGCAAGTAATCATATCTAGCATTATTAGACTGAGCATTTCTATCAAATACCTGGTTGGGATAAGGAACTCCCCGAGGAACTCTCGGTCATAAATAGCCTGCGAGCAGGCTCTCATTCGCGCGATGAGCGCGGAGCGCGATCGTGATCCTTAGTATTGCGTGACGTTCGAGCGCGAAGCGCGGCGCTCGAACGTCACGCAAAACTAAGGATCACGATCGCGCGAATGAGATGAGAGCCTGCTCGCAGGCTAGGTCATAAAAAGCTTTGTATGCTTGGCATACGGAGGCGCTAGGCATGTCTAATCCCGGCCCAGTCCCACTCAAATCACCACTGTTGTTCCAAATAAGGCTAATGCCCCGCTTAACCGTGGCACGATTATTTGCCAAATGTCCCGCTAATCCCCGCATCGTCCCGGGGTTTGGGGGGGGGGGGGGGGAATTTACATTAACTGGTGCATAACGTCATTTCCGAACACGCACCATCCTCAAATAAATGGGCTCCTGATATGACCGTAAAATCCAGACGAGGAGCGCTTTCGCGGACAAAATTATAAACCTCGCAACTCGGGTTGACATGCATCCTCCGTTACCATGCTTCTTCCAATCACGTAGTTTTGTACCAAGAAAGACTGGGCTCTAATTAGATCGCAACCTCGTCCCCAGGGCCATCTCCTCTTTCAAGATGGCGGCTGATACATGTAGCTGATAATGGCGGCGTGCGTGTGATTTGAAGAGACGCGCTGTTCCTAGTGGACGTTGTCGCCGTTTTATAAAGGTAAGCGGTTCTATTAGAATGACTTTTTAATATCCAGCTACGCTACAGAATACAGGGCTACCTATTTGTATCTCTCTCTGAGTATTAAAGAATATACAGTTGAACCCCGCTAATTCGAACTCGGTTATTTTGAATTCCCCGTTATTTCGAACTCAAACCTATTTCCCTCGGATTTGCCCCTGTTTTTTCAGTCATTTGCTATCGGCTATTTCGCCTTTCCCTTGGCCTAAAATCAACCCCGTTATTTCGAACTCTAATTAAAAAAGTTGATGGCCAAACATCGAACTTATTTATAACCTTTTTATTGCATTTATTTTTTAATTTATAAGCTTATATCTTGTTCCATTGCGCACAGTTCCGGTTGTCAATTAGTCTCCCACGCATCCGTTATTTGTGTCGTCACGCAACGCTTCTCCCCACTAACGGCTGCTCAAACCTGGACCACATTCCTTTCCTTTTGTTTGACCACAGTAACTTTGACACCTATCGGCAAAAACGTGACTGTTACCGTTTGCCGAAACCTGCTAAATCGATCCAATTCTTGAACTAGGATGTCTGTTGTAATTATTATAATGAAGTTTTTTTCGACATTATTTTTTTCATATCATACATTTTTCATCAGTAAAACCGTGTTTTATTTTGATGCCTGGTGTGCGTCAAATTCAAAAGGCGGCATACTGGCGTGCGTTTGACGTTTCCGACGCTAAGGTCATGATAAGACACAATCTATGATTGGTGTATTTTGGCGCGAGCGAGTTCCGAAAATGGCACTGCAACTGTGATTGGCTTAAATCTGCAAAGGAATGTGGTCCAGGTTTGAGCAGCTGTTAGTGGGGAGAAGCGTTGCGTAACGACACAAATAATGGCTGCGTAGGAGACTAGTTGTCAATAACAGTATAGAATTTTGCTATTCCATAACGAATGTACTATGTTTTGTCAATTTCTTGAAATAACATTATTATATAAGGTACAAGTTATTCCATCATGTTAATTATTAATGATTATTTTGAACCCTGTTAATTCGAATTCTCAGGGGAAACGGAAAATAGTTCGAATTAGCGGGGGTTCTAAATAACCGGGTTAGAATCCCCGCTAATTCGAACTATTTTCCGTTTCCCCTGAGAGTTCAAATTAACGGGGTTTCAACTGTAGTGTAAGCTTGTGCTACAATGCAAATAATGCGAAGCTTCAACACCCTCCCCCCCCCCCCCCCCCCCCCCCCCCCCCCCCCCCCCCCCCCGGGCATTTGAACTTTTGAAGATTGGCTTGTTGAAATTCCTGCCCCCCTGGGCCAAATTTGAGTTCAAATGCCTACCCTAGTGCCGGATTTGACAGTCAAATGCCCCTCCCAAAGAACAAATGTTTAAATAGTGGAATAGAAAAGGTTTTGGAAGTCACTTGCAAGCGTCATTCCACGTCACGATGTGAAAATGTATCATGGTTAGCTCAGTTGGTAGAGCACTGGACTGCAGAGCAGGAGATCGCCGGTTTGAATCACGGCCGTACCACAAACCAGGGTCTTAAAATAATTAGGTTGTTATACATTTTCCTCACTATGTCTATTCTTTTTGGCTGAGAGCATACAGCTAATTCACACTGGCATCGATGTCATATTTACAGACACTATGATAGATACATGTATGTAATTATGCGTCATAACTACAGACAATAGGTCATAGACCATCATACCTACAGACAATGCATGTTGATTGACATCATGCACGTGTACCACGCATCGTTCACTTCATTAGTAGCAGCGGAAAGAAAATATAATATTCTACAGTCTGAAGGAAAAAGCTACAAAACACTGCAAAATCAAGTCTGAAATGATGATTAGTTTTTTATGTGTATGAAACAATTATTGGATTCGGTTTTCACATAATAGTGAAATTATCAAGGCCTCGGTTTGTGTTATCTATCTCAGGCTTTGGCAGATTGATAATTTTCGCTATCATGCTCAACCTCATCATGCTGGCTGTGTTGAACACCAAATCATCACAGATGATTGCGTCACTGGGCCACTGTTGGCCTAGTTTTCTTCATCCTACATGTTCATTCAAAGGGGACAAAAGAATCCACAACACTGTTGAAAAAGAGTAGCAGACATCTGTTTACTCAGACCAGGAGCAACCATTGAATAGACATTGGATGAACCAGAAGTGTTAACCTTTGACTTCTTTTCTTGTTTAGGTTTTGATAACACTGTTAATCAGGCAGTGTCTCTAATGATATGCAGAATTACATGCATCAGTCTTCAAGACACATCGCAGAAGAAAAACTGTGTCAAATTTTGGAAACTTTTCATAATGCAGATGAAGGGAAGAAAGGCTTCTTGACAAATGAGGATCTTAAAGTGGCATTTGTGTCTCTCTTTGGTTACAAGCCATCAAGAAATGAAGTGGAACAACTCATGGCCAAAAACCAAACACAACGAGCGGTTTCCTCCGACAGCATTTGGTTGTCCAGCGACCAACTGCTGACCAGGAAACCTGCTAACTATGAGATTAAACAAACCCCCGATGCCACCCCTGTTGGTATGTGTCTGGAACATTTCACAGAGATAGCGAAAACCAAGATTTTGGCGGAAGATAGTGATGATGAAATTCGCCAGATGTTTATTGCGTTTGATGTCATGTGTCGTGGTTTTATCACATTGGACATTACTAAAAGGGTGTTTCAGCAAGTTGCTCCATTTTTAGACTCAGTTACTGTAGAGAAGTTGTTTCGGGAAGCTGATGTGGATCGAGATGGGAGAGTGAGTTACAGGGATTTTGAGTTCATAATGAAGTACAAGTTGGATGACGAACTGTAGCAGGAAATGTTTGCTGAGATGTTTTGTTCCAGAAAATAGCCATACCCCAACACGGATTGTGTTTGGTTTGAACCCCCTTCTCCCACCCTGGAATTTCCAGTTTTAATTGGCTTCATACTTTCCTTTAAAATGTTGGCTTATGAGACCCCCTCCCCCAGGGCTTGAAATAAGGCCTGGACATTGGACAATGTCCGGCCTGATTGGAGGTTTGACCGGTCAAACTTTCGTCTCGCTGGTCATGTTGACCGGTCAAATTCGATCATATTGAAAACAAACTAAAGTTTCCATGCTGTTCAGTTGTTTACTATCAGTATGCACTTGCATGCTGTGTATAGGAGTGTTCACTGTTTACAAACATTACGTCATATTTGTTTTGTTATTGAAATTTTCCAATCATTAAACAAAAGAACTCTTTGTTTCAACAGCCAATAGTTCTCTTGTTGGCACATTAATAACAATAGGTGACGTAACGAGAAATATCGCTATTGCAGAGGTTTGACCCGAATGAACTGGAACAAAAGTTTACATCAAATGTGTGAGCATTCTCGCGCTTGCCAGCAAAGAGAAAAACACTCACTCATTTTCTACATAATGAAAAACATTCAAATTAAAAAGGGGATGTACAGTAAGTCATGAAACGCAGGGTTTTTTTATGCATCAAACCTTTTCTTCGAGCATATCACCAATGAAAAATAGGATCAGAAGTATAACTGAACTAGTGCCCAGTGCTTGGTTGTTTTTATACCGCTCGAGCTGTTTTAGGTGAATTTATCGATTCTTTTGGAAGGGAAATAGTCTGAAAATAGCCTAAAAACTTTTTAGAAATCTTGGAAATCAATAGGAATACCTGTATTATTTAAAATTTAGAATTGTGCGAGTTTGACCGAATTGAGTGGTTCCGCACCCGTGCACCCTGTCAGAAGCCTTTTGTTTCAATATTTGACCGACCAAAAACGGGCCGTGTCCGAGGAAAAATATGTTTGACCAGACAACATGACCGGCAGAAATTATTTCAAGCCCTGCTCCCCCCACCCTGGATTTTCCAATGACCTTACTTGGGATGGGGGATTGGGTATGGATATTTTCTTGAACCATGCCATATGTTAAGTGTGATTAATGTTTCAAACTTTTGTATATATCTGTACTGTATGTAATACAAGTGATGTCTAAAAAAATAAAAATCGAAACAGGCATACCGACGTTATACAGTTGGAAAAATATGGTGAAATTTTATGAAATGTTATGAAATGTGACCCCTTTCACCATTAAAATCCAACTTTGTCTTCAGCCCGGACCAAATGAGGATAAGAGTTGTTGAGAGTTCCAACTCTCGCTCTCATTTGCCTATAAAACTCTCATGCACTCTCATCGAATTTGAACATGCTCAATTTTTTATTGAGAGTTGTTGAGAGTTTTCTCTTGTTTGGCTGATGGTAGTCGCTGAGAGTTGAAGTAAACTCTAGTGAGAGCCAACTCTCATTCTTGTTTTGCTTGGACTAGTTATAAATATTCCAATGTGTAATATTGGCATAAATATTATTCCAAAACAGAAGTTTAAAACCCAACTGTTCCTACAATTATTGCTCACAAAACCTGTTGAGACAAGTAGATACTTGCATGTGCAACACACTTTTCAAACATCCCTTAGCTCAAACATATTTTTATCTCCTCCTGCCCTGTTTAAGGTTTTTTATTCATCCTGAGTCTTTTTTTTTATGAATGAGCTACTAAATTTTTGCAAACAACAAAATAAGTGCAACAACTGGAGGGGTCTTATAATCGAAGGAGATAAATATTTCTTTAGGAGCTAAGCTCATTAGCTTATTATTGGAAGGATTTTTGCGTCTGAGATTTGGGAGGCTAAGGCTATGTTCACACTTGGTGCCAGAGTATGGTGCCTGAGTACGATTCTTGCTGGGCATTTGTGTGAAGTACCCATGCCAGAATTCGGTGCCCATGCCTGAGTTAGATTGTTCACAGCCTCTCTATTTTCTCGACGCTAACTCGCAGCTACAACGATCTGAGAAAATAGAGAGGCTGTGAACAGTCTATGCCTGAGTACAAGGTTGAGACTTTGTACTTGGGCAAGGGCACTGTGCTCGAGTACAAGGTACCCAGTGTCTCAACACACCATTACGCCGGTGCACAGGCACTAATACTAGTGCTCGGGCACCAAGTGTGAACTGAGGCTGTGTTTACACTTGGTGCCCGAGTACGATTCTCACTGGGCACTAATGTGAACACACCTTTTTCAACTACCTACATCAGAATTCGTGCCGGGCAACAGGACGATATCTTGGGTACCCAGTATCTGAACACAGCACCATTTTGTGCCAGTGCTCGGGCAGTTTGAAGATTTCAACTTTTTCAAATATACCCGCTGATTTTGTAGTAGACTGCGAGCAGTCTCTATTTTTCGCTTAAGTCCGTGAAGCGAACGCGCGAGAATAGCACGATTTAAGAGTGGCGCGCGCGTGGGCGCGAGAGGAAGCGAAAAAATGTCTAATTTTGTAGCCACGGCAGAGAAAACGGACATGAAGCCGTTTATGGTCACGTGCTCGTTTCCTTCCTTCGCAAACGGCGATGTCGAAAAATCCATACTGATGGCGTAGTATGTGTTGTGCTTCTCGATTGGTTCCTCTTGATTACCAATGAAATTCCGTGCGAAAGTAACAACCAATCAGAGACTCTCTGTGGTGCTACGTCATCAGTATGGACTTTTTCTGCTTGAATCTCGGCTTTCTCGCTAGTACGCAGCCGTTATTTGTGTCGTCAGAAGCGTTGCGTGACGACACAAATAACGGCTGCGTAGGAGACTATAGTGCGCGCGACTAGAGACTGTTTTTTCGGGTTTATCTCATTTGTTATCGGTTACTTTTGCCGTTTGCTTGATTAAAAAGATAATAAACGGGAGCTTGATTACAAGTGACGCCACTAGAAAGCACTGGCCATTAATTTAGTTCAAATAATGAGACGAGAAGGAACGCCTATAGGAGGGGGACATTGGGGTTTGCGGTGTTGCGGTGTTGCTCAGTTTTTATGCGGTATTTCGGTGAATAAAATCCCACATTGCGGTATTGCGGTGATCTCAAATCCTGCGGTGTGCGTTGTTTGTGTTTTTAAACCTCCGGTGTACGGTGAAACGAAATTGTTTGCGGTGCTACGGTTTCTTGTTGGACCCTTGTACAATAATCGTCGACCCTTGTCGTCCTTGTCAGAACTAAATTTATAGCTTCTATATCTTCGTTAACCCGTGTTTATTTATTAAAAGCACGTACCTTTGTTAAACCTGTTAATTTGTAACACAGTATAGTCAAATACTACTGTCCAGTTAATATTTTACGCTTCAGCAGCCAGTCGCAAGTCTTCATTTATAAGTAACTTAAGGTACCTGCCCAGGCAATTTTGGGTCATTTTTGTCGTAAAAATTTAGCTGCAATGTGTATCCTAATAATCCAGATACTTCATAGAATGAATCACCCTCAAATATAAAATTTGAAAATTCACCTGCTTTGTGTGTATCTGGCCCCCTAGGGAGGTACTTGGATTAAATATTAACCCATGTCTGAGACAAACTTTTCGTTTTTTGCTCAAACCATTGAATGAAACCAAAAAATAAAAACAGGAATGTTTAAATACAAATAAAAGGAACAATCGCCAGTTTGGGTTTCACTGAAATGTTTAAAACTCCGAAGTTATT